GTCGAGCCAACCCTTCGAAAAAAAACCAAAAAAAAAAGTGGAGCCAACCCTTTTTAAAAAAATACCCTCCACCCTAAGCTGCTAAGTTGCCCACACCCCACAAGAGATGTACCCAAGTGACGGCCAGACGATGGTTCATGCGTGGACGATCGCATCGTGGTTTGAAGGTGTACCGCTGCTATTGGCAGCGCGAGCGTGCCGACGAGGCCCACCAATCCAGTTCCCCGAGTGGTCAGGTGTCATGAAAAGAATTCAGAAGGAATCAGAAGGATTTGCTCCGCACAGAGAAAGCGCTTCGGAGGTCGCTCCGCGGAGCGTGGCGTTGGACTGGAGCTTGGACTGTCGGGTGATCGCCTCCTTCGAGGCTGGAACATGCTGGAGCCAATGCTTTGCTTTGGCTCACTTTCGCAGTCCTGTCTTCGCCGTAGCATTTTGAGTAGGCCCGTGGGGGCATCCTGGCTGATGAGTGCCCCGGCTCCATGGGTGCAGTCGTGAGCTTCTCTGAAGGAGCCGGGGTTTCGTTGACAAGATGTAGCTGAGGATAGGCTATGGCAAAACTGCACTGGCAATCGCACTAGTGGATGTGCGGCATGTGACTTGGCATGACAGCATTGTAGTTTGCACCCTTGTGCGCGTTCGTTGTTGTTTCATTATCTTGAGGAAGGTCGTTTTCCAGAAGTTCCAGAGGCCGATCGAGGCTTCTTCTTCCCCTGCAACAGCACGCTCATCTGTATCCCATCTCACCTTCATGGGCAGTGGGCTGAAGAGTTTGTCAAGTTCACCGGCAACAAGTACAAGCTCGTGGCATTGAGCAAAGACGCAGACCTCAAGAAGGCCACCGTCAGGACACTCCACGATCTGCGGTCGTATGCTGTGTCGCAGAACAGGCTTCGCAGTGCAACACAGGACAATCCTGGAGTCGGACGTGGTGCTCTGCGATTACCAGCTCTTTCAGCGGGGCTTCTACCTCAAGCGCCGTCAGGAGCTTGCTGCTTTGGTGGCTCCCCGATCGGACCTGCCAGATGCGGCTTGGCTTCCAGGGTGGGGGGCTTCAGCTGCTTCGGGGGTTCTTGCGCTTTAAAGAGAGAGTTGAGCGGGACTTCTCTGTGTGAGGAATTCGCCGCAAAAAAGCAAGCGGATGATGTTGCCTTCAAAACGCTGCAATGTGGGACCTACACCTTCCAACAAAACACCCATCAGCATGTCTGGCGGGGATTCCTCAAGGGAACACCCAGAGGTGGTGAAGCCTCTTGGAAGCAGCTGGGTTTCCCAGTCTTGGAGCAGTTTTTCTGGCGACGAGTGGTCTTCGATGAGCTTCATGAACTCACCGGGGACTCGATTTGCCGCACATTGTCTTTTCTGCGGGCGCACCATCGCTGGGGCTTGACCGGGACGCCAGCTTTTTGGCAGAAGCTTCAGTGCCATGAGTAGTTGGTGTATGTTGGTGTATGAGGCTTGAGGGCTGGAGGAGAAGTGCTGGGCTTCTAGGCTTTGGTTGTTGATGGCAAGTATTCAGAAGTGAGGCATTGCACGGCACCAAGCACATTGCCAGCATGGCCTCCTTGCTTCGGGTGGAGGTGGCTGGCCCTGGCTTCACGTGCCTTAGGGACAGCAATCCCGTTCTTGCAGAGACACGCGAATGCAAGAGAAATCAAGAGAGCAGTGATCGGCTCGTTTCAAGTTGGAAGAGATGTTAATGTGGAAGGGCCATTGCTCTGCAATTGCCGTGCTGAGGAACTGCTGGCGGTTCTTGGATGCCTGTGTGCGGCAAAACACTGCTGAGCTACCGAAGCTGCGTGTTGTTCAGCATCTGAAGTTTGTCCGACACACTGCCCAAGAGTGGCTCGGCGAAGTGAAGAGCATGGAGTTGATGTAGTGGCCATGTCTTGAGTGCTTGCATGGCTCATGGCTCAGGCGGGCGCTGTATTTGTCGGCATGCAACGCTCCAGCAGAGACGGCGGACGGGAAGCCGTGCCAAAACCGAAAGCTCCTGCAGCTTTGCTCCCACTTCAGTGCCCACGAACTGGCAGAGGATGCCAACGAGGCCTGCGGCCGGCTGCTGAAGTCCAGGCAGCAGGAGGCTGGGTGGCTAGGTAATGCACTTTTTGCGTGTGCAACGCGTGCAAACGCAGAGCGCCGAGGCTGCTGCGGCCAAGGAGGAGGTCCGAAAAGCGTTGCGACACCTGGAGGCATTGCGGCGCCTGGGCATCAGTCTGCAGCTACCGAAGGCTCCGCAGGCAGGTGCCATCCCCAGATTCTTTGGAAGTGTCTCTGTCAAAGCGTGAGAGAGGAGGCGAAAGATGTGGAGACTTTTGTGGAGGAGGCGTGCGAGGAGGCGAAGACCCTTAGCCCTTTGGCGGATGGAATGCTTGTTGAATGCTTCGCTTCACGTTGAATGTGGTCTTCTGGTTAAGGCCTGGAGCGCCTGGGTTTGGCTGGGCGCTGGAAGCGGATTGGTAGGCTACTGGAGAAGGGCAAAGAAGGCGAGGGCAAAGAAGGTGAGGACTTGGAGGTCCTGGAGGGAAGGGGCCGAGAAGGTTTGGAGGCCCTGAGCCAAGCCATGGTAAAGCTCGCGCAAGCTTCGGGCCGGCTTTTCTTCTTGCAGCGGACCTTAGCTCTGGTGGAAGAGAACTCGGATGCGTCGACAAGATCCTGCAGCATCTGCTACGAAGAGAACCTGGAACTCGAGCAGTTGGGCATCACACCCTGTGCCGCTCGCCTTGGACATGGAAGTTTATGTTGTCAGGAGTTGTTGTTTTTTTGGAGCATTTTTTTTGTTTTTTGGTTTCTTGGCTTCTTGGCTTTCTGGCTTTCTGGTGGTCCTCTGGCTCAAATACTAGATGGCTTTCCCAGCCAGCTCAACAACTTTCTTTCCACTTGAGAAATACATGGAACAATGCAGAGAAGATTAGCATGGCCCCTCACAAATTTATGCCCCATACAGAGTTCATGTCATTTGCTTTGGGTCGCATCGCTTAGGTCCAGCGGCCCTAAGGAACGCACAGCTCAGCTAAGCAACGCAACTGGTTCGCATCGCTTAGCAACGCTGCGCATCGCTTAGATCCACCGACCCTAAGCAATGCGCCTCAGCTCCGCTCCGCAAACAACCCCAGGGTTCCAGGCTGCACAATTAGCAGCGGAGGTTGGCAATTCCTCCAGTGGCAAGAAACTACATGTTTCTGAGTTCGGATTAGGTAGGATATGCGGATTACAAGGATTATGATTTCGACTTAGGATTACCAGGATTAAGGATTAGGATTAGCTGCAAAAAAGTTTTTGAACAGGCCAGTAGTTTGCTGCATTTGAAGCGTTCCAAGACAAGCAAATGCTGTAGTTTGCAATATTTCAAGCGTTCCAAGACCAGCAAATGCTGTTTTGCAGCGTTTCCCATGTTCCAAAATGGAATTGTCAGCGTTCCAAGACCAGCCGATGTTGTAACTTACAGTATTGGACATGTTCCACGACAAGCAAATTGTGTAATTTGCAACACTTGAAACATTCCATTGTGGCTTCGTCCAGCCCCGGTGTGGCTCGGTCCTGGTGTGGCTCTGCTCTTGTGGTCCTCTGGTCCTCCGGTCCCATGGTCTTGAAGTTTTCAACTGCTGTCATCTGCGGCGTGTGAAACGCTCCTAAACCAGTACATGCTGTAATTTACGGTGTTTGAAGTGTTCCAAGAGTGTCATTATAGCGCTTGACGTCCTGTGGCCCGCGGATCGCCTGTTTTCTGTGCTTGAAGTCTCTAGGATAAGGGCGCTTTGATCTCTGGATCTCCACGCCGTTGTCAGAAATCCAGATTTTAGCACTTTTCTAGGTTTTTTATGTATGGTTCAGGATCTTTCGAGTACTGCTGCCACCACTACCACCCCATCACCCCTACCACCAAACAAGTTCACCAAGCTCTCGTAGTCGTCCATGTATTGCAAGAGGGGGGGCTGCCAACCCCCCCGCCATGCTTCGACTCCCATAGAGTGTTAAATCGGCCACAGTAAAGGGGATTGCACTTCTTTCAAACTCCAATGGAGGATACGAGGATCTAAACTTAAACGCATTGACAGTTACCAGGATCGTGACCCCAACCCCACGGTGACTGTTGGCACACTTGAAACTTCAAGAGGATCTGAGGGTCCAAAAGCAATGACAGTTACGAGGATCGCGACCCCAACCCCCACGATCCCTGTGACTGTTGACCAATTTGACACTCCAAGAGGATCCGAAGGTCCAACAGCGACAACAGTTACGAGGATCGCGACCCCAACCCCCACGATCCCTGTGACTGTTGGAGAAACCAGAAAAACAACAAACCCAAAAAGCACACAACAAATCCTAAATTAATTTCGCACCAGTTGGACATCTGTGGCAGCATCCTCTGTCACGCGTTCTCTGACTCCCAGAGCATTTTCGGAGCAACGGGACCCAGCCTCTCAAGAAAAGTGCAACTCGTCGGAGTTTACAACCAGGAGTCAGTACCTCACCGAAGCATCCTCGTCTGACCAAGGCGCATGTTTTCTGTTTGCGCTGCCTGCATGAGCAAGTCCTGAAGAATCGCCAGTGTGGTCTGTGCCGACAGCCCCTTGAAAAGGCGGGAAGCAAGCCGCAGTGATGGGATGCTTTAGGCACATCCCCTGCAGGCAGACATCCAGCCCCTGATGCTGGAAGTTGCCAGCAGAGAGGAAGGGGTTGAAAGCAAGGAAGGCAAGGACAGCAAGTCCGTGGAACTCGACAAAGAACTGCGAAAGTTTGGAAGCAAGCTGGGAGCCATTGTGATCCAGCTTCGAGAAATCAAGCAGAAGGCCAGCCAGCACCAGTCCCAATATGTTTCCAGAACCTCGTTTGAATCTGTAAGGATCCTGGGGCCAAGTGCATCGTCTTTTGCCAATGGGAGAGTTTGCTGCAGAACATCGCGGCTGCCTTCAAGGCCTTTGGCATCCGCTTTGCCCGGCTGCATGGCTCCGTCTACGCGCGCACGCGGACCTTGGAGCGCTTCAAGGGTGCGGACTCGGAGACGGATGTCCTGCTGCTGTCTTTGGAGCAGAGTGCAAGCGGGACCAACCTTACCTGTGCCCGGAAGCAAGCAACATCTTTCATCTTCTCCTCACTGGTCTTGACTAGTGAGGTCAGCTGGGCTTGCTTCCCAAGCTGCCAAGGTGCTAGCCACGTGATCTTGGTGCACCCCATGGACGCTGAGACGCAGGAGCAGTCGGTAGCCTTCGAATTGCAGGAAGGGAGCCAAAGCGCACGCTCATAGCCAAAATAGTCAGGCAGGTCTAACCGTTTGCAAACGATGTCAGGCTATTGGGCGCGTGCGACGGTGGGGCCAGACCAGGAGTGAGGCCGTTGCGCATCGTTGAATCGTTGTTCTGCCAAGATGTGCCGCTGACGCAGCCTTCGTTGCAGATTCACATCTGGCGTTTCTGCACCATCGGCACTGTGGAGGCATTCTCTATTCTCTGGGTTGAATTTTACAATGATCAGATCTTCTGGGCAGGAAGAGATCACCAGCAAGCATCAGAAGGTACGCCATCACCGAATATTAGATGCGAGCGTGCAAGAAGATACCATTTCTCTTGCCAGGAAATCTATGAGACCTGTCGATCATCGGACCCTATGCCCTCCGCCGAGACCCAGGTGCAGATACGTTCTGATGCATTCAGCCCTTGTTCAAACCTGAAATTAAACCGAGCCGAAGGTGTCCCCTGCGGCCAAGCTGGCCAAGCGCAAGCGCGAGGAGGAAAAGGCACAGGGAAGGTCGGCGGCCATGGCGGCCAGGTCTCCCAGGCCCTGTCTTGGGCCCTGGCCATGTCCTCGGTGCACTTTGCTGAATGCGGCGGATGCGCTGACCTGTGACGCCTGCGATGGACCTCGGCCCGGTGGCCATGCGAGCAATGCGAGCACAACTGCAAAATCCGCTGCCGCAGTGGCCAAGCCCAGTCCACATCCCAAGAGCTTTGGAAAGCCGTTGGCCGCCTCCTCAGGACATGACTGTAGGCTTTGCTCGGTAATGATTTGATCCGATTTCAGTCTGACGGCTCGGTGGAGAGGTGCATCAGACGGTTGCGATGGATCTCGATTCTAGTTCTGCTTCCTCAAGCTCAAGCAGCTCAGAGTCCGAACAGAAAGCAGGGCTTCTCCAGCCTCACAGAGCGGATGTGACGTGATTGGATCAGACAAGGGCGGCGCAGCATCTGGCAATCTCGAGTGCCTGTGTGCAGAGGGTGGAAAGCAACGCCTGCTGATCGGACCTCCTCTACAAAGCTAACACTTGACCGTGTGGCAACAGCCCGATCCGTTTCGGTCTGTCTGGAGTGGGAGTCCAATGACTGACATGTTTCGCGTCGAGTTGGATTTTCGGTGCCAACATTAGTTGGGGCAGGGCAGACCTACACCGAGCCATGTCGCGGAGGTGGGGCACGCTGAGCAGGGGCCTAGAAGCCTGGCCCGGCCAAGCAGTGCCACGGCACGAGGAGTGATGTGGAAGCCCTGCAGTAGACCGGGTGAGGAGATGCAGATGCGATCGGTGCATTCTTTCTTCGTTGCCGCAAAGAGCTGAGCTTGTGCAGAAAAAAGTGTGACACATGTCTGTGCTGTGTGTGCTTGGTGTGCAGCAACAACAGTGCCGCTGCCATAGGTCCAAGGAGCTTAAGGTGAGGGGGTAAGAGGGACCCAGGAAGCCTGGCGTCCCTTGCGGCTCCTAAGGAGCCGAACCCCTCCTGGCAGGTGCCGTGGGAAGTTTGGCCTTGGGTTGCGGAGTTTCAGTGGCAGAGTCGCTGAGGCTTTGACCTTGGAGTAATGGGCCGATGACGCTTCAAGCAGGGCAAGAAGGCGTCGCCACGCACAGCGATGCGCAGCGAGTGCCTGCGCCCCTGTGAGACATCCAGGCGATGACCGCTTCAAGCCCGCACCGGAGGCCTTCGAGCCACGAAAACAAGTTCACAGAAACGTGCACCTCAGAGAGAAAGGTGGCCTTTGGCAAAGCAGCAGATTTCTCAAGAGGCCGAGGGCCAGTCAAAATGCAGAGCGGTGGGTCATGTGGTCGCTTCTCGCAAGATGAAATGGAGGTCTCTTCAAGCACGTCTCAGCCAACGACGCCTTGCTGCGAAGAATCCTGGTGCTGAATGTCTCCCGCTCGCCGGTGGCCAAGACTCCTCTGCTCTGGGCTTGCCGTTGATCGGCGAATCCAGCGAATTGTGACATTTGTGAGGCCCCTGAAGTCCGATGACCTCAAGATGATCTTCCTTGCCACTCGCAAAGTGCAAAATGTGCAAAAGAGTCAGGGGTTGTCAAGGTGCTCGGTGTGTTGGTGTGTTGCTCTCATGGCTGAAGCGCTCAGAAACCAAGGCGGCCCCAGGTCTGATCCGCATCGATGCCAGCCGATGCAGCCAGCTTCCCAGAGCAAGGCGAGAACGCGAAAAGGCAAAGGCCGTGGCCATTCTTCGGCTTTGGGGTTTGCATGGGCTTTCTTTCCAGACGCACTTTTTGAGGCTTGGAGGAGCTGCCGGAGGCGGACCTCTTCCAGTCCCTGCGGAACCTCAAGGCACGGAGGGGCCATGCGAGATGCGCCTGCGGAGCTGCAGATGCAGAGCTCAAAACCAACTCAGCAGACTCAGAGACAAGCCTTGCCAGGAGCTGAGGCAGGATTCCAAAGACCCTTGCCCTAGGCATGAACAGCAAACGGAACAGCAACACGATGAAGATGATTTTGACAACCTGACAACCAAAGCGCAAGAGTGCGGCATAGTGCAGCGTGACAACATGGTAGGCCACCGGAATTGGAAGCAGGAATCAACGAACGATTTGTGCAGCTCTCTGGGCCCCGGATTTTTCAAGTGGTTTTCGGTATCCAGAAATTTCCAATCAGCGCAAGCCATGGCGTCAGCCGTTCAGACAAAGACCGCACCCCATGAACTCTATGCCAGGTGACGCTCTTCCATCAGAACGCACTCCGCAGGCAGCATGTTGCTTGCCACCTGCCCCTTGAAAGCCAAACATTGCATGTGATGCCAGGTGGCAGGATGTGCTAAGCATCTGCTGCTGCCCTGCACTGGCCTTGCCTTGCCTTGGAGTTCTAGCTGCTGACAGTGAGCGTCCAGTCAAAGTCAGAAGGCCTTGATTTGGATGACAATCTTCCAAAATCCTGTGGCAGGCGGTGTCCGCAACGAATACTTCTCGTGTTGCGTGCGCCAGCCATGCCAGCCGAGAAGGTGACCCTACGGTCCGCTCCGTCGTGCTGGCAGAGAAGCCGTCGATTCTCGCTGCCTGGGCCTTGGCCTTTGCTGAAATCCTCATCTTCTTTAGGAGTGGCTGGTGACGTAGTGGCTCATGTGGCTGGTGGCCAGGTGGACCACCGCATGGTCACAGAACCAGAGCGACTAGGGCCAGAATGGGATGCCTGACGCTGAGATTACCCAAGCAAGGTCGCCATGAAGGGACCGCACGCAAGAGAACGTCAGGGCACTTGAGAAATAGCAATTTTTGGCAGCTGCCTGCATGAGAGAGCTTCCACCAATGCACCAGAATGCTTGGCAAACGCCCGTAGGCACGGATTTTGCGTCAACTTGAAACTTTTCGGGGACGTTCTCCATCTCTGTGGATTTCCACGTGAGGTTGTGAATAACCGGCTTCTCTAGGCTATGTCATGAGTGTTACGAGACAGCGTTTGACGTGTACAGCGATGAGGAGTAAAAGAGACCCATAAGCTTAAAGGGGCCCGCAAACACTGTAAAACGATAGCGGGTACAAAATAACGATAGAGTCCAGGTTTATGAAGGCTTTAATGCGGGGTTTTGATGCAACTTCAAGTTTTTGTGGATCATTTCTTTTAATTTGGGGACTGGCGTTGGAGAGGGCTGGAGAAAATGGAGGCTGCGCTGTACACATTATGTATCCTGCAGTATTCGGATGGCGTTGATGCTGATATGGGATGCGTCTGCGGATTGGGGCGGGCCTCGATGAGGTCGTCAGCGCGGTCCTGTCGCGATCGCGCTTCGGGGCAAGGCCCTCTCAACGGTTGTAGGCGTTTACTGTCATTGTAGTCCTCGCAGATGAAACTGTAGGCTTCTGGATCCGGACTCCTTGGATCTGAAGGCTTGGCAAGGCTGCACCCAGGGCAAGACTTGGACTTTCTGAGATGAGGTTCAGGGCCCGAGGAGAGATGTCAGCTTTGAGGAGAAGGCTGTGATCTCGTTGTTTATCTGCTTCATGGTCTGCTCTCTGCGGGGGTCAGGATCAGTTCATGGTTCAGCTTGCCCTGCAGGAGCATCCTCCCATTATCCAGGGATTGCCAGTGCTTCCTAACACTGAAGGAGATTCGCTTCATTGAGAATCACTACAAGAGCTCCTCCCCGACACGTGGGCAGCCCCGATTTTATGCCACTTACATGAGCGATGCCAAAATTGTCCGAGGTTGCATCCAGGCCTCGCCGGGCTTGCAGAGCTGAGCAAACTATGATTATTACCATTACTATTACTGCTACTATTACTGCGTGCAGGCTGTGTGGCGTGGCTTTCACGTTCGCCAGGCCGTAGAACAGCACAAGGTGCAGAGAATCGCCTTGCAACGGAGCCACATGTTCACCAATGTCCTGCATGTCAGGCGCAGATGGTGGAGGCAGCCAGGAAAATACAACGTGGCGCCCAGCCCCAAGCATCATGGACTGCTTTCTGCTGTCAAAATGGGGAGAGGCGAGAGAAGGAGACGCTAATGACTTCTCAAAGTATAGAGGAACCGAATGATCAACAACGCTATCGTGTCCTTGTTCACGATGATCGAGGTATTCAATCTCATGAATGCAGTTACTTGGGAGGAGGCAAGTTTTTCTTTGGAACAGATCGTGGGATGGTCGTCAGGCTGCAAGTCGCGATGTTCAGCTTTTCGGGCTTCCAGGAGTACACATCGCGCGTTGAAGTGCAAAACCCTGACCCAAGTCGGTAATGGGCCACGAAAGCGATGTTTCACACGACAAGTCGAGGGATTCAGCTAAAACTGGCTTTGAAGACATTTTGAAAGCCCTATGCCCTACACCCTAGAAAATCCCAAGCTCAGTTTCCAATTCTGCATTTCTTGTCCATTGGATTCTCAATTTCCCCAGCCTTGGCTGAGACCTGAGGCTCGGCGTCTCCTATGGCGCAAGCATATGGCCGAGTATGTCAAGGCTTTGCGTACCTCCCGCGCTCCCAAGAGGCTGCATGGTGCGGTGCCTTGTAGGAGTACCTGGGTCACATCGACGAGCTTGATTTGCTCCTGGACGCCAAGGCAGGTCAAAGCAAGTCTTGACACACTTTTTTCCGACCCATGTCGTGTAGCACTCTGATACAGTGCTTTCAGGAGATGCTGCGGCGCCGCGCCTTGAAGTTGATCGAGGCAGTGGCAAGCTGCAGCAAGCTGCAGCAAGCTGTGTGAAGGTGATTCTGATTTCTCGATTTGTGTGCGGAGTTTCCTTGACAAAGCTTCTGCAGCCGCTTGGCTCAGAGATGAAAGCCATCCCTGTCGCTGTGGAGCTCAAGCATTCCGGTGAATGCTCCTCAAAATCGCACTTAGCAGTATGCAAGCACTGCAGCTTCGATGGCCGCTTGTGGGATGCAGGTTTACAAATCGATGCTCCATCTTCTTGGACGATAGGGGATCTCAAAGCCCGCATCCAGGCAACCTGCTTGTGCCACCTTCTGCACACGATGCTCGTTGCCGTGTCGAGCTCACGACAAATATTGTGCAGGAGCTTTCTAAAGTGCCACCTCAGCAGCAGCGAATAGTCCTCGGTGAGGCGGGAGACCTTGGTGTACTCTGAGAGGAGTCTGGGGAATCGAAGAGTGCAGGTGGAGCGGGATGACTTCTTACATCATAGGGCCTGCCTGGTTGACGGGGAGTTCCTGAGTGGCATCTTGACACCGGCGCAAAGCTCGCTGCACTTCCGCTTGGTCCCCATCTCTGACCGCCAGGCAGGCTGGCAGCGACGCCTCTCGGAACCAACCAAGAGTACCATCACCCAGCCTCCTTGAATATGTCAGCTGACTCCAAGGCGTGGCTGCACAGCCCAGAGCACTGGAGGAAGCGCCGGAAAACATTCAGGACGATTTCTTCGTGGTCTTGGAGGCGTGGAGGGGTTGCCGTCACCTCATCCGAGCTCGATCCTGTAGGCAGGCCCTCACAAACCGGAGCAAACCCCAACAACTTTACTGCAATCCTGGCTGACGGGTTTGGCTTTTTGTGAGACGTCGCCAGCTGCCCTAACAAACAGTTGCAAGCCTCATAAACTTTACGCTAATCCTGGCTGACGGGTTTGGCTTT